GCATCAAGCTCATTCAGAAATATCTAAACAATCAAAACACTTTGCTTATATCAATGATTAAAAATGGCTTAAAGCAGATGAACCCTGTAGGTCTTGAAGAGATCTGTCCTTTGTCAGATCTCATAGACTGGTGCTACAGAATCACAAAGAATTGTACCAAATAATAGAAACCACATCACTTGATAACTAAACAGTAGCAACTACTAAAATGGATAACACATTTAACTCTAAGAGAAAATAAGATGTTCCATACTACATTAAACAAAAGAATAGGAAGGTAACTCCAATCAATACTAGAAAGAAGGATAACAAGAGACTCCAGATAAATATTTTCCTGAAAAACTGCTTTAATTGGAAAAATTTTTATAAATTTCCAGACAACAATGTTGTTTTGTTAACGAGTGCCAATATTTCCTTATAAGGAAACTGCTATTTTCACTATTACCTTAAAATAATTGCAACAAAAGAAACTGAAATTAATGTAAAAGAAATACTAGTCAAAAATTAATAATGGCTGACAATGCTTCATAAATAAAAGGTAATATTACAAGTGCATGTAAGTAAAGTATTAAAGCTGTTTGTGTCAAACATTCGGTGGGGTGATGTGGGGGTGTAACAAGGAATATGGCTATAGGGGTAGATTTGATATTCTGCAATTGTCAGAATTCATTGCTGAAGTCCTAGAGTAAGATAGACTTTTGAAGACAAAGCTGAGCGAGTCGTGCCAAAAGACACTTCATTTCAAATGAATGCTGTTTAATAAAGACTCTAAAAGAGGGTCTGAGGAGGTGGGATAAAAAGAAACTAAAATTGAATTTAAAAAAAAACAAAGAAAACATACGATAATGGTTGAGGAACTGGATGATAAACTCAATCCTGTTTTCAGAACAATCTAATAATTCTTTAACTTCCCGATGTATTTTAATGTTTAGAATGACGACTCAGTCCATTATCAATCAGCAACAGGTGAAATATGAATTAGCTACAAAATCCTCATGAAAAAAAACAAAAAAAAACAAGATTATGCATAGATTAGCACTTCTACCTTGGATCAGAGTGTAGTATGTGTGTATTATCAAAAAGTTTTGCAAAAAGGAAAAAAAGAATTATATATTAGAGATACTTGAATAATTAGAAAAGGAGGAGTTGATTTAAGAATGAGAATGAAGAGAACCAAAGCATAGTACATATCAGACTAAGGAAAGATAAGTAATTGTAATGTGATAAAATGGTAATGAGTAAAGACAACATTTGAATCGTTTGGAGTAAAAAAAAAAAAAAAAAATTCTACTCATTAAAATAAATCCCCAAAAGTGGGACAATATTCTGCCTTTAACCATCATGAAAATGCTACGGTCTTAAAGGAAACTATAAAGAAACATGACTAGTTAGACTTTTGGAAGGAAACAGGACTCCTGATGAACAGCCTACTTAGTGAGCTAAGTGTTGGAAACTGACCATGTGAGCCAGAGACTTAAGAAAATACAGACATGAATTTATTTACTGTTCTTCAGTGAACCATTGAAAAAGGAATAGGCAATCCTAAAATAACTAACACAAACCAGAAAGTGAAACAGTATTTTTTTTTGGGGGGGGGGTTATAAAATCGACTGTTTCTTCTAGTTTTTAAATAAGCAGTTCTCAACAAAGAAATTAAACAAAGACATTGTACTGATCAGTATTTCATCACTGAGCAACAAAATTAAACCCACAAATACATAGACATTTTCAGGCAATTATTGCTTTTTTTTTTTTTTTTTTTAAATCCAGCATTATTACTATAAATGTTATGTTTAAGTTAGCAGATTTACACTTTGAAAGATGCCAATGAGAATTGTTTATTTCTTAAAGAGGATAATTGAGCTTTGCTTTACTGCGATAGCTTTCCATGACTTAATGGTAAAGCACACTTGGTTTGATAGCTGTCAGGAGACAATTTTTATTTTTTCATAAGATTTTTTGTTATCCTTAGGCTAGCAGACATTAATTTCACTGCAATAATAAAAAAAAAAATTAATAAAATAAAATACAAAAACAGGGATGTCTACTCAAACCCTTATACTCTCTAAATATAACACACACACATTATTTTTATATATATATATATATATATATTAGTGATTGAAAAGAAACTATTTTGTGTATGATGGACTATCCCATCTTACTATAATTGTTGCAAGCCGGGAAAATCCATCATACATAAAATAGGGAGTTACTTTTTCAATCACCCTGTGTGTATGTGTGCGTGTGCACACAAAAATAAGATATGCAAAAAAAAATGTATGTAAGAAAAAAACAATTGAAATAAATAAAAATTGAAATAAAAGAAAAAAAAAAAAAAAAATCAAAATGCTGATCAGCTTTGATGACTGCTTCATTTCACAGGAAAGTTTTACAATAATTAAAAACATTGGGCTTTATTATTCAGAGGAAAGTAATTGTCTTTTTGGTTTGTAAGAAAGGCCAATCAGAAAAAAAGATTGTCTAATTCTTTATACATGTGAGACAGAATTGATAAACAAGAAAATAAAATTATTATATATATATATATATATATATATATATATATATATATATATATATCAGGACATTTTTTGCCATTACAAAACACTCATTTTGTTTTGTTTTATTTCTTGAAAGCATTTTTTTTTTTTACCTGAATTGACTTCATTTACACAAAAAAAAGCAAAAGAGAAAAATGACAAAAGAAAGAAAATATAAATTTCACAATTCAACAATTTTGGCTTTGAGAAAATTAAAATGATTGAAAGGTATAAAGAAATTTTTTTTTTTTTTGATTTTATACAAGAAAAAAAACTAAATGTTTATATTTGAGAATATTCACTTTTGTTCACAGATCATTCTTTTATATTTAGAATGAATATCAAATCGACTGGTTATGTCTTTGCCAGATGTAATTGAACTTATCTCTTTAAATCATAAATTAAACTTTTAGGATTTTCGAAAGAGGCAAATAACATTTAATGACATGAATATGGATTTTATTATTTTTTTATTTTTTTTTTTTATTTTATTTATTCTTTTTTAATACTGGGAAGAAAAACCACAGGTTTTGAATTATTTTTTTTCTTAATTGTCACATTCATTCAACAAATGGAAGAAATTAAGCCAATTTACTGAAACAACCATTGCATTACATCATTTTCATCAAAGTGTAGTAGCTGTTCAGAACAATTAGGGGATTACATATGTTTGCAAGTGGAATGAGATTATTGAACTTTTGTTATGAAAAAGAAAAAAAAAAAAAAAAAAAAGACCCCCACCCACCAACCCGAGAAAAGTTGAAGTGCCAAGAACTAATACCAAAAATATGTTACCATTTCTCAGAGTGAAGAATTTTTAGCATTAAATAAAAATTGAAGAGATTATTTGGAAATGCTAGGGAGCAAGAATTTGGTTTTCATGATCGTTAAGGAACAGATACACTTTTTTTTTTTTTTTTTTTTTTTTTAAATAGACATAGATATATAATATATATTTTTTTTATAGATTCATTTTTTTTTTTTTTTTTTTAATATAGTTTTTCTTTTGATTAAATACTTAAAGAAAATTTGTTGGAGAAAAAAAAAAAAAAAAAAAAACTTTATGGAGCAGATCAAATTTTGAAAAGGAACCCTGACCAACCTTGAGTGATGAACGAGTGAGAAAGGTCATCAAAAAAGCACTTAATAAGATTTGGGGAATTTTTTTTTTTTTTTTTTTAAATTCTTAAATATATAAAGAAAATCAGTCAATATTTAATTTTTTATATAAAGAGAAAATATGTCTAAATATCAGGAATTCAGAAATAGTTTTTAAGTTTATTTAAAATTTCACTTTAAGTTTTATAATTTTATTAAATTTAATAAAATGTAAAAAAAATTTTATTTCAGAATAACTTTTAAAAAATTTTAATTTTTTTTTTTTAAATTTCTTTTAGAAGAATTCAGAATTCATATATAAAGATAATTTATATATATATAAGATAGAGAGACCTATAAAGATATAGAAAAAATATCTATATCATTTATTCAAAATAATTAAGGAGGACAGAAAGAATTCTGTAAATAAGTCAAATAACATGGGAGTGAGACCACAATGATAGCAGCAACAGCAGTGACATAAGCACTAAGAAGAAGAGCATTGCAAAGACATTAGGATCCCAATTGTATCAAATTCACAAAACTGAGGTGAGGACCTCAAAAAAGAACCAATTTACAGTACAAGGGCTAGTGAAAGGAGGGGGTGAAGAGAGGAGGGAAAACATTTTTGGTAATTTGAATATTGTGCAAAACGACATCACAAAAGGCACTAGATGTTAAAAAATTCTTCATTTTTCTGCTGTGTAAAACAGAAATTGCCTATATTTTTTTGTTATATATATATATATATATATATATATAACCTCACACAACCCCTCCTGCATCCAACCAACCCTATTTTACAACCAGAATTTATTATTAAAAAGGAAAAGAAAAAAAAAATCAAAGTAAACAGATTTAAGGAATGGTTGAGACTGCAGACAATGGCAGTGCCAGAGTTTGCAAGAATACTGAGGAGGGTGCTGGAGATTTGAGGAGACTTTTCATTCAATCTCCAGTGACAAAAAAAAAAAAAAAAAAAAAAAAAAAAAAAGACTGACATCTGGTGTCAATATGCAAATTGCATGAAAAATAAAAGGAAAAAAAAAAATGTTTTTTTCTTCTTTTTCATCTTTCTGCTGTGAACAGAAATTACACTTTTTATTTTAATTTTAATTTTTTTAAAATATTTAACCTCACACAACTCCTCCAACTACCAACCAACCCTATTTTACAACCAGAATTTATTAAGACAAAAAAATAAAATAAGTTTGGTGGGGGATTTTTTTTTGTTTTCGTTACAGATTACATGTAAACCACAGAATTGGCATCAGCATATTCCACAAATCTCATGCCAGAAGAGGAAACTTCAATATTGAAACTGACATGCTTGGCAAAAGCAGAGATCCATTTGCCAACATAGTCATAAACATCTGCCTCCCTCTCTCGTGTGCTGATCTGGAAGCAAGCTTTCATTTTGAGTTCCAACAACCAAGGGACACGTGGCTGGCAACGATACGTCTTCAAAAGGGTGTCCACACCATATCTCTCCACATTGAATGGATTTCCACTGTTGAAAAGAAAGAAAAATATATTTAAAAAGTAAAGTTCATTGATATTCAACATCTTTGCAATTTAGGTCAGAATAAAACTTTAGAATTTTTCTGAAAATAGGATCACTTTGGAAAAATAGCTCATCTATCCTATCCTACACGTTTATCAGCATTACCATTAACTTGCAAAAAGTTAAAAATATTGGAATCAAAGAATTGGCAATTCATTCAAAATGACAAATCAACTTTTATGAGACGCAGACAGAAGAAGGATAAGGAAAATAGCTTAGGAAACCCCCCCCCCCAAAAAAAAACAGCATTTTCACCTGCAAATAGATGTTTAAAAGGAAAAAACTGCTTAAAGAAAAGAAAAATGGTCTGTATTCTTGGGATCTATTGTAGATTCAAAAAAATATCCATCTATTTTAGTAGTTTACAACACGTGACCACTTTATTCAACAGGGATTGTGCTATGATATATTATGGATAAAGCAAGGTCATAGTGAGAAATGAAGAAAAAAAATAAAAAACACACTTTTAAGCCAGTCACATGTTTAAAAAGTCTGAGAAGCCTTGCATTATATTTTTTTCAGCAATGACAAGAAAAATTAGCGTTGATAAATTAAGGTTCAATTACGAATTTGTAGTATTGAAACGTCAAAACAAACATTGAGAATGAACTTCATTATTACAGATTATTATTAAGAAAGCAGATAATTTTTTTATGGAATTGACTGACCAGCAATTTAAGCATTCATAGGGATAGTGGGTGGTGGTAAGTATTAGAGTTGGAGGGGAGGGTATTATTTTATTGTTAATAACCCCACCCATATAGTGTTTGTATACATGTATATAATGTGTTAAAAGATTCCCTTTCTCTGCCATGCACCATTAGCTTAGGGGTAGAATCTCTGACTGATGTCAAATTGGTCCAGCTTTGATCCTGGTTTGAAGCAATCTGACATCTAGCCACACTGATGAGCTGTGATACAAGCTTATATGTGGATGACTAATATATTTTACACACACGTAGTAGAGAGAAGGAAAAGGTACACAGGTAGCCAGCTGAGGGTAGAGAGGAGAAATGTAAAAATAACCAGAGAGAGAGAGAAATAGATACATCTTCCAAACAGACAGAAAATGAGGAAAGAGTCGGGGCACAGTCAGTCAAAACCAAAAACTTATGGTATAGATTAAAAAAAAAAAAAAAAAAAAAATGATGACCGTTTGGTAAGTGGTCAGTAAAAAAAAAAAAAAAAAAAAAAAAAAACGTAAAAAAGAGGGGGTTCTTAAACAGAAAACTAAATTAAATTTTTGAAAAGATTTTCTAGAAGCCACCACCATCAGCTATCCACCCAGGTGAACAAAAATAATCGACCCTTATAAAGAAGCAAAAATTTAAAGTCAATCAATGAAGTCTGAAATAAGAAAATAAAAATTAAATTTTTCTTTGCAGTTAATTTTCTGGCTGTCAGTTTTTAATTCCTTTGACTGCCAGGCAAATGTGGAGTGGGGGGGGGACCCAAATTGCAGGAGATAGGGAGAGGGGGTGGGGAAGGAAGGTTGGCTTTCTGACATTTTGTTTATGGCTTTATGAAATCAATGTAGAAATAATAAATGGCACTGATTACCAGGAAGAGAGATGGCTTCCTGAATATGAATGAGGGAAATTAACAGACAAAAATCAGGGGTAGTAACTAGAAACTGCGGATTGGTAGCCAGGCAGTGAAAAGATAAAAAGATGATTATTTCAAAGGACCAAACTAAACATCTAATTTGTACTGGCAACCATTGCCTATGAAACTTATTGGAGGATAGGGTTGAGTGGGGAAACCAACAGTAGAATTCACAGAAGGAAGAGCGAAATTGGAAAGGAAGATCTTGAAGGATCCGTCAAAAGGAGGATGGAAAAATAATTATAGTAATTGGTGTAAATAAGGATTGAGTAGTTAGGAAACTAAGAATGTTTCAGCTGTAAGAGTTTGATAAATGAGATCTTAGAAATGTGTGTACTCATCTTTCAATTCAATCAAGATTAATTCTTTACACGTCGAAAACTTTAACAAGGGCTTACTGTGGTTCATGGGTTACAACTTCTATTTTTACCAAGGAATTGATGTTAAAGAAAAAAAATATTGTCAAATAAGACAATGGATATTACTGAAATTTCATTCATATTATCTATTTGTTCTGAGATTTCTGTTCATGAATTTTCAATGTTTATGAAATTCTAATATTTGAGGAGAAAACGAATTATCCATACAATCAAGTGAGATATATTAAGAACTAGCAGTAGAGCCCGGCGTTGCGCGGAGATATAACAGTAAGAGATAGATCAAGTATCCACCATCATAAAGACTGAAAAATAAAATTGATAAAGATTATTGTTTATGGTTGACAGACACGCATGTCTTAATTAGTTTTTTTTTTGTTTTGTTTTTTACGAATTGGTCAAACCCAAACAAAAACATGGTTTTCAATCGTTATGAGTCTCCCGATTGAATAGAATTTTATTATAAATAATTGTCTTGTAAATGGAATTTTTAAAGCATTCTGAATGTTAAAAATAAAGAAAAAAGTGTGCAAGAGAATAAGAAACACTATTTGCTAAAAAAAAAAAAAAAAAAAAAAAAAAAAAAAAGAAGTTTTGTTTTATCGGCTGAAAAATATAGGAAATCCGCTCCCATATTTAAAGGAACCCACACACACAACCCGATGTGAGTTGTCCCCCTTCCATTTTCACAATGTCTCTTAATCGTGTTTTCAAATTGATTTTGTACAAAAACAATTATATTTTTCCCATTTTTGGCGCTGTTAGAACCACCACAAGGTAATTTTATGTAGTCCTGTGAAGTTTTGTTGAAATCAGTTTGAAAAATGTAGAAATCCGATCCAATATATAAAAATTACAGACACACACACACAATCTATATTTTATAATAAGTAAGATATAAGTAATAATCCGCTGAAGACACAAAATTAATTTTAACATTAAAACCAATGTAAAAATATAAACCCATATATACTGAAGAGGAGGAGGAAAATATTTATGCATACATATTTTTTTTTGAACACAATTCTTAAAAAAAAAAAAAAAAAAAAAAAAAAAAAAAACACCTCAGAAAGTAATTGTTCCTGCACAACGGTCATAAAAATACTGCACGTGAGCATGATCCTCACTGAGTTCTTAAAATTTGTGGGTACATGACAAAGTTGCTTCTTGGTCATCAAATATATTTAAATTTGAGGCCTTTTTTCAGTCAATCCTGTTTCCTGGCCCAAGCCGTACACACATCTAGCCAGGTGTTGAAAAGTCCTTGGCTCTATTTACTTCCCAAATAACCAAAAATCAGATTTTTTCAAGAGCTTCTGGGACAGGACAACATTAAATTTTACTTGTATATATATATATATATATATATATATTTTTTTTTTTTTCCAGAGTACACCAGTTGTAGAAAATTAATTTCAAGATACCAAATTAACACATTTTTCTTAAAAAAAAAAAATAAATAAATAAATAAATAAATAAAAAAAAATATAAAATAAACTATTTCATATGCTCGGAAAAATAACTTTACCAAATGCATAAATTGAAATTGGTGATGAGACACTCACAAAAACATTTATCAATTACTACATCAAAGGCTTTTGCCCCACCTCTGCCTTTAATTTTTAGAATTAATCTATTCTGGGCATGCAAAGTCATGTATTTAGGAATAATATACATTGTGTAAATCTACAATCTATATATAATACTAAACCTCTAATCTGTGTGTGTGTGTGTGTGTGTGTGTGTGTGTGTGTGTGTGTGTTCATTCTTGAGATACAGCTTAAAAAGTACATAATACCCCAACTAACTTAGGAGCATATTGCACCTTGAACCTATGTAGAATGCAGTGTCAAATTTATTTAAAATTCAGCAAGTGATTTTGAGCTAGAGCCATTTTTCTGTTTTTACAGCATTTTTAATAGCAAATTCAGTATTTGCTTTCCATACATTCTTATATCAATCCATGTATATAAAAAACTCTTGCATATTATATTCCAACTCTTATGTGTGTGAAAAATAATAAATATACATAATACATTAAGATTATTGAAATAGATATAACATACAATTCACTACATTAGAACTTTTTTTTTTATAAACTACTTGAACAGTGATGAGGCTATACATGTCATGACTTGATAAACTGATGCACGTCGATTTGCTGCTGAAATTTTATTTTGAAATAAAAGCCAAGAAACAAGTATATATAATAAAATATATACTTATTTGAAAAAGTCTACATCCATTTGAAATTATTACTCCAAATTTTCCCACAATGTGTTAACTATGAAGCCCAGTGGAACAATAAACCTTCTTTTTCCATCTTTAAAAGGTCTAATAAAATTGACAATATTGTTACCTCATCATTTTGTATTATGAACTGCTTTCAAAAGAAACCCAATGGGTTTATGGGTGGTCTAGTATATTTTAAATGAAAAAAAAATAAAAAAATAAAAATGTTGTTAATGAAAGCATGTGGGCAATCACAACTCACCATAATTTATCCTTTGTAGATCTTATTAATTCTTTACTTTACAATACCTCCCACGCCCTGTTCTGTCATTGTTGGGCTAACTACTTGCCATTCTCACCTCTCCATCCCTCTTATATCAAATTCTCCAAGCTGTCTTTCCTCATTATTTATCCCAGAATGTCCAACTCTTTGTGTCTTTTGTTTCCATAAAACTTCTTTGTTTCTTACACGTTTCGCAGTTTATATGGCAACTGAAGTTTTGTCTTATTAACATAAAATTTACAGATAAAAAAAAATAACTTTTATGCATTGAAAAGTATTGTAGAATCTGGAGTTAAATTCTATTTTTATTCTTTTCAATAAAATCTTTGAAAATTAAATTGTATTTTGTCAATTGCCCATCCAAGACCAAATAAACACAAACAATGGCGTGTGGCTAGAAAGATATTTGTAAAGTTAAAATAAAATATCAACTAAAAAAAAGGGAAATT